ACTAAAATCCTTATCCTCTCTATTTATGTTCGTTTCTTAATCTAGAATTGTCTAGGATCTTTATCTCTTAATATGATAAACCCTAAACATCCTAGATCCGGTAGATCCAAAAATTTCGCTACCCAAATTTCACATTACGAATGCTACCTTCGTAATCCTATGCTTATACTAAAATCCTTATCCTCTCTATTTATGTTCGTTTCTTAATCTAGAATTGTCTAGGATCTTTATCTCTTAATATGATAAACCCTAAACATCCTAGATCCGGTAGATCCAAAAATTTCGCTACCCAAATTTCACATTACGAATGCTACCTTCGTAATCCTATGCTTATTGATAAATATCATAATATTTGTCAATTAACTATCTTTCTGGGTAGATTCATAAATTTTCCTGATTTTGTCAATTATCAGCTGCACACTTATTTTGACGATTCTAAGTTGCGTGATTTAATCGCTCATTAAAATTCAGTCCCATATTATCCAAATCTTGTTTATCTATTTTACACTAATATGCAACTTGTTCATACTGATGATGGCACCTTCTTTCTTAGGTCCTATGTTAAGAATTGTCACATAAATTTCTCTTGTGATGAATTAGCCTTCATTCTTAACATTCCTTAGGGAAATCTTTTACTAGAAGAGATAGATCTTAATGATCCTGCTATAAATTCAATAATATTTCTTCTAGGAAAAGATTATTCAATGTCAAATAGCTCAATCACTCCCCTTGCCAAACTTATTGCTCGAATCATTTCATATAACATAATTTCTAAAACTGAGAGTTATGATCATTTTTCTCGTGAGTTGATGTGTGCTGTATATGCTATCCTTGGGAATCTTAGTACTAAATGGGAGAAAGCGATCTTTGATGCCATGGCCTATAATCACACAAGATTTCTACCTTCTGCTACTCTTCTCACTAGGGTATTCACTCACTTTAACATTGATCTCACCGACGAACCTTCTATCAAGCGTATTCATGAAATATTTCACCGCACTAGTCTCTCTAGGATGAAGCTACCAGAATCTCTTTCTGATCCTCAAGCTCCTATAGATCCTCCAGTTAGTGAATCATCTTCTCGTCCCTCTAGCTCTAGGACTCGCTCTCATCCTCCTTGTGCTTCAAATTCCAACCATTCTAGTATTCCGGCCACTCTGTAGGTAAATAAAATTGTCTTTCTCCTAAATTTCAGGAGTTCACCTGTAGAACTTCGCCTGATCAACCAGGCTCGCAAGAACAAAGCTCATATGGCTTGTTCGCTTACATCAAATAGGCCAAGTAAAGCTTGCTTGAATGCTTAACTTCACAGGCGAAGCGAAGTTCGCCTAGGCATTGGATTTTGCCTAAAAAGAACTAAGCTTGCATGAATGCTTAGTTCGCTAGCTCGCAAGTAAGCTAAGCTCGCCTGAATACTTAGCTCGCCGACTTCGCCTGCAAGGCTAAACTTCGCCTATGAGTTAAGCTCGCCTGAATACTTATACTCACGAAGTTCACCTACATAGACCAACTTCACCTATACGTTAGTTGAGCTCGCCCGAATACTTTAGCTCACCGACATTGCCTGCAAATTAGATAAGCTCGCTTGAATGCTTAGCTTGCTAGATTCACCTATGAGTTAAGCTCGCTTGAACGTTTAACTCAGCCGCACGACCAAAGCTTGCCTGCAGGAGGTTCGCCCGTATGATCCAAGCTCGCCAATAGGGTTTAAGATCGCTTGAATGCTTAAGGGGTTCGCCTGTCAACCTCACCTGTTTGCCTAGCTCGCCTGCAGGCTCGCCTAAGTCACCTGAATGGTTAGAAACTGCCTACTTGAATTGTGGGAGTAGTTACGTACTTCCCATATTCTAAGGGGTTGGTTATGATCTTTCTCAACTATAAATAGCCATATCCGGCTACATAAGGGGGGACCTTCAGATTTTTGGCTCTTGAACTTTTTGAGAATTGAATTCTTTGCATTTTCTTGGCATTCGGCCTTGATATTCAAGCTCGGGTGATCATACTCTTTGATCAAACTACTACTACACACTGAAGTTTGACTTGCAATATCATTCAAATCGTCAAAGGGAAGCAAACTCGACACGAGCATTAAGGGAGACATCCTATCACTACCAAGAACCCACGTTAAAAAAGGAGAGATTAGATTCATTATCTTCACTTCTATGTAAAATCGATTTCGATTTGTAATAAATAATTCGATTAATACAAATTTTGAGATCACATTTTACGACAAACAGAAGATGACGATCACAGTGGGAGAAACTATTCTTTCAGACGAAATAGTGGTGGCGTAGTTCGACGAGGTTGCTGCAAGGACTTTCGTTGAGTCCCTCATTATAGAGTTCGATCAAGCTAAGTATGAAGAATATTTATCATCTTCTTCTTCTGGTGGCAAAAGTCCTATAAGTGTCACAAAGTCTTGCGCATGACTCAGCCCAGCAAGTTAAGGCTAGAATGCCTGAGAGCTCTACCCGAGCAAACACTGGGGGTTCCATCCCTCCCAAGAGTATTGAGGCCGGTCCAAAGTCCAAGAATGCAAGCCAGGGGGTTGCTCGATGGGTTGTTAGCAATCCACACAAACTCCTGCCTTTGAGGAGACCAAAGTTTGTGTTGGCACGGATCATGTAATCACAGTTGATATGAACCCTCCTCTCTCAAAGAGGGCCAAGCAACAGTGATGACAAGCTCTCACTCACCACAAGGAACGTGCCCTCATCTCCTATGAAAAGAGCCAACAATGAACGCAAAGTTCTCAGTTCTGGCGAACTACACCAAGTTTCCAGAACTAACGAACTGCCCAAATTTGGCAAACCCAACAATTCAGACGGGCTTTCGCTTTTATATTCTCAATACTGGCGAACGTCGCAAACCTGGTGAAGTATGCACATCAAGTAAACTTTGTATTACAAGCGAAGATCATTATGCAAGCGAACCTCACCAGGCTTGCCTGACTATGTAACCTCGCTTGCAAACTAAGCTTTGCTAGAAAGGTAAAGTAGCAGTTCGCCCGACAGGCGCACTTTACTAAGTTAGCCAAACAGGCGAACCTCGCCTGAAAGAGCAAGAGGTTGAACCTTGCCAATACACTCATGTTTGCTAGATAGGCGAACCCCACCAGATTAGGCAACCTCGCCTGTCAAGGCGAGCTCGTCGGAAATCAACACTTAGAAATGTTTCCGAGTGTTCTTTCAAATGTTCTCTTGGACCATCTTTGCACAATCGCTCATCTGATCCTTTTGACACTATGGGTTGTCATCAACCTACAGGGGATCTTAAAGAGCGCTTGATTTGCAAACACACTATTCATGAGGCAACTCCTTAGTGCCACTACGAGAGACTCATTATAGCAATGCTCGTGGACTGCCGGTGTGCTGGAATGTCAAAACCATCGGTGTTCGAGAGGCTCTGTCAGCAACCACTAGAAACAAGACCTCCTTGCTGAAGTCATAATGAACAGAGGAGACGGGCTTCTGATGACTTTGATCTCCCAGCTGCAACTGTTAACATGACAGGGAAGTCCAAGGCAAAGAATTCAGACTCTTCTGATGCTGAATTTTCAATGGGATTGAAAGGCCTTTCCATTAAGTCTGATGGTGTCTACCAACATACCCGGACTAAAAAGGGGGTTTTCATACCGCTTGATTATAGGCACTTAGCCTCCATTTTTGATGATGAGGATGACGATTGCTCGGCAGTAGCAACATCTTATGCCTCAAGCTCAATTCAAGGCGAGCATGCTAAGGTGCACATGACTGAAATCTCTGATGATATAGCAAGAAAAATGGACAAGCATCAAGCTATAATTGACATGCAACAAGGCACAATCAGTACCATGAAGGAGATGCTCGAGAAACTTCTAAACGAAAAGAAGAAGAAAAAGAAGAGAACATCACGGGCTCCCCTGAAGTCCTCAACCAAGAGCAAAGAGCGGGAACTTACTCCTCCTCAAACAACAAAAGGAGAAGAAAATCCAGAGTCGTCCTCTGATTCATCATCTCAATCTTTAGAAGAGGCATCACATTCTGGCAGCAACCCCTGAGATAAAAGGCTTGACGAGTTCCAAAGACAAATTGACGCCTTGAAGCTCCAGAAGAATATGAACGAGCCAGGGGTTGTCAGGGCATATCCTAGCGAAGGGACTATGTCCCTTACCCTCCAAAATTTAAGCCACTCAACCTCCTACAATTCGATGGCAAGGGTTCTCCTACCCAACATATTTACTATTTCCAGGGGCAAACTAGACACATAAAGGGAAACAATCCCATTATGACTTGAATTTTTATTAGTACCCTCAAGGGGGTCACTTTTGAATGGTTCCGCAGATTGGAGCCTGGATCTATCACTTGCTAGAAGGACATGGAAAGGCTCTTCATGGTTAGATTTTTCGATGATGATACAGAAGTGTCTATGGCCACCATACTAGCTGAAAAGCAGAAGAAGACGAAGTCTGTAAGAAACTTTGTTAAGAGATTCAGGAACCGATTGCTGCATTCTCGTGATTAGGTTTTTAAGGCCACTCTCATCGAGATGTACTGGAACAATATCTCCATCGATATACTATCTAATATGGGCGCTATTGAAGCTCGCTAATGGAAAGACTTAATCCGCTAAGGAGAACAAGTCAAAAGCAAGCTCAAGCATATAGATGCTGAAGAACCACGTGAGTTTTGAGGAGGTGATAACTAGAGTGACCACACCCCTCAAAACAATCAAAGGGGAAGGATATTTTGGTGGTAGTGGACACTTCCTCCCCTATATCTTCGTCGAAACAAAAAGGTAATTCTTTGGATAGCCGCTTTAGCAAAAGTATGACTCCAAAGATGAGCAAGTCATCCGACTCCTCAAATCCTTGATCAAAGCGAAGAAGATCAAGCTCCCATAATCAATGTGACTTGAGGAGACGTCGATAATGGATGATCCCAACTACTGATAAGGTAGCATTGATTAGAGAGTGTATTCTTGCCGCTCAGAGCCGGCGAAAGAGCTACACGGATCAGAGACGACAACCTTTGGAGTTTCAGGTTGTAGACTTTGTTATGTTGAGTGTATCGCTAATGAAGGGCGTTCAACGATTTAGTAGACGGGGAAAGCTTACCCCGCGATATATTGATCCGTTCAAGATAGTTGAACGTATTGGATCCGTTTCGTATCTGCTAGATCTTCCAACATCGATGTCAAGTGTACATGATGTTATATATATTTTGATGCTTGAGAAGTATTTACACGATGAGGAGCAGCAACGGGTATTAGGTGCCCCAGACATTAAGCTTAATGATGACTTGTGTGTGATAGAGATTCCTATTTGTATTCTTGCCAATGAGGATAAGAAGCTTAAAAACAAAGTTATACATTTGATTAAGGTTCAGTGGAACTGGAAAGGAGCTGAAAACGCTTCTTGGGAGCGCGATGAGGATATGTTTCGTGACTACCCGCACCTGTTTGAGTAGGTAGATATGATTTGATTATGTTTTTCTTATACATGTGATTGTCAATGTGAACATATTTATATTTAACACTAGAATGGGGGTACTAATACTTAACTCCTAATCACTCGGAACACATGATAATATATATGGGGGGCTTCTTGTTTGGATTTTTCACCCGACGTACTTATTCTGTTTAGTTAGGGGTTAAGTGGGAGCACTCACATTCTAGACTATTAAGTATAGATTTTTCTATGATACATTTGCGGAATTTCGGGGACGAAATTCTTTTAAGGGGGGAAGATTGTAAAACCTTGATAATTTGAATATTATATGATAAATAATAATAAAATATGTTATATGGTGATAAATATCATATTTTTTTTGTTTGAATGTGCTAGGAATTGATCTGAGATCAATTCAATGTATATGTGTGGATATATGAGTGCAAATGCACAAAACATGCACGAATAAGAAATCTAGAAAATAATAACCAGTTATGAGTTTATATGTTTTTCAAAAGACAAAAGTTGTAGGTATCTTCATCAGATTTTTAATAAATCTTAGATCACCTTATTCCGAGATTGGATGTGAAAGTTACAGTCAAAATACGAAAGACTTTTTCCCAAACAGGCTGATTTGGGTCTTAGTAGTCGACTAATCGGGCTGATTTCTAGTTTTCTTATGGGTTTCAGGTCAGTTTTGGTTTATATTCGAACCCAGATTTAACCCTAAGTATATAAACATATTTAGACCATGATAATGGAACACAGTTCGTCAGTTATGGTTTTTAGAGATTCTGCAACAAGTTCAGGATCCAAAGTGTTGCATCAATAGCATACTACCCGCTAGCCAATCACCTCACAAAAGCTTTTAATAAAACCATCGTGAAACTTCTCAAGAAATTTTTCTATAAGAGTCGACGCGATTGGGATGAAAAGCTGGGTGAATGTCTATGTGTTTACCGCACAATGGTGAGAACCCCAACAAAAGCCACCCATTTTTCTTTGGTATATAGCTGGGAAGCCATATTATCTTTAGATATCCAGATCTCATCCCTAAGAGTTGCTCTTGCAACCGGGATGATGGATGAAGAGCAATAACGACTACGCCTTCAAGAACTAGAAGCATTACACGATAAGACTTCAAGCCCAACAGCAGATCGAGTTATATCAAGCTCGAATCTTTAAAGCCTTTGACAAGAAAGTTAAGGAAAGGATCTTTAAGAAAAACGATCTAGTGTTAGCTGCCAGACAACCTATGGTGATGACGTACAAGACCAAAGGCAAATTCAATCCCAAGTGGGAAGGACCCTTCATAATAGAATCAGTCTTTTCGAACGGAGCTTACCGTCTCATCAATCAAAATGGTGATAGGCTCATGATGCCAATCAATGAGAAATTTCTCAAGAAATACTATCCATAGATCATGAGACCCTTTTTCTAATCCCCAACCAAGTCTAAGAGGAGAAATCAAACTCACTTAGACTGAGTGTTAGTTACTCAAAATTCATTGAGTTGAGAGTAACAAATCTTTCAAACCTTCCCCATCTTGTATGTCGTTAAGTTAACATTACACCTCTGATGATTGAAATTTTCTAGAATTATTTTACTAATAAAGAGAATTTCTAGTTTATGCTAAGTTAACATTACACCTATGGTATTCTCAATCTTTTCATTGTTCTAACACAACACAGAAAAAGAAAAATGAACAATGAAAGGCAAAATAATATCATTTTTATTCGACATTGTTGAGTTGCTACAAAGTGACAATACTTGTCGTGAAAATGACACAAAAATCAGCATTAAAAAATAAGAAGGGGGTAAACGAAGCTAAGTATCAGGGTCCGTCAGCTTAATGGATGCGAGCTTGGACTTGATGTCAGAGAGCTTCTTTTTGTGGGTTGCTCAGACCATTTCAGTAGTCTCCCTCCTGAGCTCAGCTTCAATAGGCATCGTGGCAGTGGCTTCTTTCTGGATCTCCTCAAGATCTTGCATCTCCTTGCCATAAGCATCATTCATCTCAGCACCCTTTTTAGGCATCGAAAATTGCCTATAGGTCTCCACAAACGGTTCAGTGTTAAAGAACGACGACGAATGTCACCACCCGATCCACATGAGCCCAATTGACGTCGATGAACGATTGAAATGAATCGACGAGCCACGTGAGCGGATAGGATTTCGGAACAACGAAGACCCGGGCCAATCGGAAGCCCGGCACTGTTCACAAAAAGGACAACGCCCTCCATGCCTCGACCACTCTAAAGACAATCCAACCACCAGATTGGATCGAACTCTTCGTTAAGCATCCAACGCAATTGGAATCACTCAAATCCGAGTTCGGACGAAGAATCTACAGGAGAAAACGATCAAATGCACCTACGGAGTCTCAGGAATTCCAAAACACCCCGAGGGGTGTCTCGGAAATTCCGAGACACCCCAGGGGTGTCTCGGAAATTCTGAGACACCCTAGGGTGTCTCGGAAAATCCGAGACACCCCAGGGGTGTCTCGGAAATTCCGAGACACCCTAGGGTGTCTCGGAAAATCCGAGACACCCCAGGGGTGTCTCGGAAAAGCCGAGACACCCCTAGGGGTGTCTCGAAATTTCCGAGACACCCCAAGGGTGTCTCGGAATTTCCGAGACACCCTAGGGTGTCTCGGATTTTCTGAGACACCCCTAGGGGTGTCTCGGATCTCTAGAGACACCCTAGGGTGTCTAGGCACCCTAGGGGCTCCCCTTAGCCTATAAATACCCACCCCTTACCTCATTTTTCAAGATCTGGATTTTTGGAGAGCCTTGGCGAAGCCCTGCTGCAGCAAAGAGTGATCGAGCGCTTCAATTGAGGAGGAGAGGTCTACACCAGTCTTCATCACCCGTTCTCATCCGATCCTTAGTATTAGCTTGATACTAAGAAGAGCTATTACCTCGTTTTAGCCGAGGTATACGCTTATAGCTTCTAGATCTCACACGGATCGACGAAGCTCTGTCCGATATTTCTGGATTAGAAGTTTCTAGATCTCACGCGGATCGACGAAACTCTGTCCGATTTATCCGGACCGGATCTGATTGCCCCGGTGGTCCACGGATATCAACATCCCCGTCACAGGCCAAAGACCCACGCAAGCGAGACCGCACCAAAACGGGATCTCGTGTTTATTTTCGATAAAAGTTGTAATCTTTGTTTTGTTGCATTCTTGTTGTAACGCTTAAAGTTGTAACAGATTCAAAAGCAATGAAAACAGCGACTTTCACCGAAAACAAGCTGGCGACCACAGTGGGAGCCACCGACCTCGCTGCCGAGATCGGAGTGACGCAACCGGCCTTCAAGATCCGGGTGAATGAAGAGGTCGAATACCAGTTCGACCAGCAAAAGTTTGAAGAGTACCTCTCTTCCTCCTCCTCCAGATCCGCCTCTCCAAGCAGACGCAGGAAGGCATCCTCCTCCAGAGTCGTTCGCGGGACCCTCGGCTCAAAGACCCAAGATCCCTTAGCCATTGCTGCACTCGCACCACGTGGCGTCTCCGCGTCGCCCAACGTGGTCGAGATCGCAGATCTGGGCTTCTCCTCCCCCAAGAAGATGGCTACTGAAGGCGCTCCAGCTGTATCAAAGAGGACGCTCCAAAGGCGGCGTCAACGCCTTGCTTGTCAAATGGCCAAGGCTTTGGAGCCTATGGACGGGGTCCGCTACAACGAAGATCTCAAACCGAGACAGCGCCTGGAGCAACAACGGTATGTAACCAACTCCTCCTCCCTGGCAGAAACGAACAAGTGGGTTCGCGTCACAAGAAATCGCTCAACCCTCGAGGAGCGAATCAAGAAGCGCCGCGCATTGCTTGCGCATGCCCGAGCTCTCTTGAAGAAAGCAGAGGAGATGCAGAAAGAAGAGGCGGTTAAGACTCCGCCAAAACTCAAGCAAGTGTAGATGCTAAAGGCGAACCCAACGCCTAAGACGAGAGTGGAAGATGTTGCTGCCCAACCTTCACCAAAGCCAAGTCCCGTTCCCCTTACCCCAGCACCTCCGGTGGGGTCAGGTATGAACACGGACCCTTCAACATCCAGGGTTCCTGTGAAAGGTCGCCTCGGTCCCTTGCCAGGGAATCGAGGTAAAGTACCTATCAAGGAGCGATTGGGTCCGTTGAAAGGTCCCCTAATGATAAACCCGACTGGGGGTCGTTCTAACTCCCTCCAGGAGAATATCAAAGGGAAAGCCCCTATCACCAACCGCATCGGATTGCGAGTCGAAATACAAGAGCCCGTTCAATTTTTACACTCACAAAAGCGTAAACTTGAACGGGCCACTTTTGAAAAAGCTAACAAAGCATCGCATGCCCAAAGGAAAGCACACTCATCTGATGATGATGGTGTTTTACCGAGGAACACATGCCAACACTCTATAGGTTGCTCCAGTTATCAAGCTGATGAGTTGTACTATAGAGCTAGGGGTATGGGAAAATCTCGAAAGAAACATGTACAGGACATGGAGTCTCACTGTCCGTGTGCCAACATCATCAAAGCAGTGCTATCAAAATGCTGTTGCTCTGAAACTCCAAGGAGAATTTCGGTGTTCGACAGAATCTCCACCGGGACGTCTAAAACTAAGCCTAGGCGTTTCCAGCGAAGAAGAAGGATAGTCAAAGACGGAGAATTCCCGAAGGTCACCATCAATATGGCCAGCAAAGGAGCATCGACAGGGGACAATCCCGAGTCAATTCCGTTGGTACCCTGGTATCTAACTCACCTGCAGTCCGGAACCATTACACGAGGGACCTATGGGAGGGTTCGGACGAGATTACCGTCGGAAGACGAAGGATCAGATGCCGGCTCCGTGATTGCTTCGGACAACACGGTATCCAGCGAGGGACAACCCCGCGAGGTACTCATGATCAGCGCCGAACAAATGAACAAGATGCTTGAAGACGCCCTAGCTCGGCAGAAAGAAGCTTTCAAGTTCAAAATGGAGATGGCCATGCAGCAGATGAGGGAAATGCATGACCAGCAAATCGCAACCCTGACAAATCGTCAA